TAGTTTCTGAATCCCTAGCAACTTTAACCCTTTGAGGGTCGACAGGCCCTCTCCGAGAATCGTTCTCAGTTTCGGCCAAATTTAAAAAAAAAAATAAATAATTTTTTCTTACGAAAAGATAGAGAATCTTTTCCCGATCATAATGACACCAAAAATATGAAATTTGATGGAAAACTTACGGAATTATGCTCTCGCGAAGTTAGCGGTCTTGGCGATGTTTACGGATCGGCGATTTTGCCCACTTTGAGCCCCATTTTCGGCCAGTTCCACTGTACTAGTCGACAAAAAACATGAATATTTCGCTAGAACTCCATTTTTTTCCATTGAATGAGTGCAAGAAACCCCCATTTACCAATTTCAAAATATCCCAGTACAGTGGTCAGAATTTAGCAATTTTGCCGAATTTTTCACACAAATTTCAAAAGATGCCAATTTCCGAATAGGGTCCAGAACAAACAAGAAATACATTCCTGGCACTAAAATGACATTTCCTCTGTTCATTAGTCACGTCTCAAGGCCCCTCTTACATTCTTTTGCTTTCCACTTTGAATTTTTATTCTCACAAAAAATAGAAGATTTACTGTTATGCAGACTACTGCATTAGTGTAAAAAATGGTATGATTCATAATGCGCACTTGCAAACGAATATTAGGACTCAAAACAGTTGACGTGTATTGGACGCTTGGCCACGATTTGTTACTTTTGACTTTGGAAAATATCGAACATTTTCTGCTACTTTGAGCTTCAATTTCAAGGTACTTTTCATGTAAAACCCAGTCAAAATCATCTTCAATTTCTTGATATGCTTCCATTCTATAAAATGAGCCCCTCCCCACTGAATACAACAATAAATATCCATACGAAAATTAACAGTGCGAAATTCGCTGTTTATTCAAAAAAAAAAACGGTACTTTTTTTCTTTCATTATGCACTGTGTGCTGCAGGATTTTTTTTTACCATGCCACAAACTGACCACATGCCCATTCTTTCATATGAGGCCTTACCAGCTTTCTCACTAGATTTGAGGGCGCTAGAATTTAGGCGTAATAGTACGTCAAAAAACCCTGGGTCGTAAGCCATACTAGTTTGTCGAAACCCTCAAGGGTTAATTTCATAGTTCCCGTTTTAGCTTTTTTATCCCATTTTAATGTCCCTCCTTAAATGTTACTATTACCGAATTCATTAAGATGACCCTCACCTCTTTTGATACACCTGCAATTCCTTTCTTCTGTCCTGATAAAGATATTCAGCCTATTATTTCATCCATTTGGGGGTCATTTCCTATTCTATCTTAATTTCCTTATATGGATAAATGTCTTTGTGCAGCATGTATTGTGTTAAGGAAAGCTGTCTACTGATAGCTTCTCTTCGGTATCCCGTCCACAAATGATTAAGTGTTCTCTTAAGCCCATTGTAATCTGCTAAGCAAAAAATCTGGGACTATTACTGATTATCCTGCTATCATACTTCCATTCATGCAAAAGGTAATTGATTTGTGACTCGATTGTTCCGAATTCCTCTGTTAATTTCTAAATTTATTAACAAGGGTTTCTTGTTTGACAAAACCAAGTCAAGCCGGTTATATTCCCTTGTAGGTCTGTACACTGCCTCAAAAAACAATCCTGAACTACTTTAAGAAGTTGTTTGATTCTAAATTCCAGTCAAGAAGAAAATTCCAACAATATGATAAAGTTAGTCTCCTAGAATTACGTACTAAGGTATCATGCCTTTTTGTGGCCTTAACAATTTCCCTCCCATAGTAGTCTCTTGGGTCAATTATCTAAGTTTGGGGAACAGTATGTTACACCTTAAAATCAATTTTTCACGTCCCTTCTGAAATTTATCCAAACACTCTGTTGTGTTACTTCAGACTTATCCCTTTCAGGGTCGGCCGTACTTAGTACGGCTTTATGTTGCCAGGGTCCTTGACGTATAATACTCATAAATTCTAGCGCCTTCAAAAATTAGTGAGAGAAAAGCTGGGTAGGCTAATATTAAGAATGGGGCTGTGGTCAGTGGCCACAGTATAAAAAAAATCCGCAGACACTGTGCGTAATGAGAAAAAAAACTTTAGTCCGTGTTTTGTTTTTGGATTAAACAGTGATTTGCATGTATTTTCCGTTATGGTATTTATTGTTGTATTCTAGTTTTCTGGTCTCATTTGATAGAAATGGAAGACATAGTACAGAATTGAGATGATTTTTTTTGACTGGTTTTACAATGAAAAAATACTTGAAATTGTGCTCAAAGTAGCAGAAAACCAGAAATGTTCGAAATTTTTTACCAAAGTTCAAAAGTAAACACCTCTTCAAGGGGGGCCCTTGGCTGTGGTGTGAAGAGGTCTTGGTCTGAGGAATTAGCCCTGTCGGTCTTCTTCCTCATGACCGACCTAATTACCCCCCCATCTCCCCTCCCCTTATCACGTCCTCCCCTCAATCCTTCCCCTTTTTCCATTCCTCCTCCTCCTCCTCACCCCTCCCTTTTGCCCTTCCTCTTTTAAGCTTCGTGATTTTCTCCCACAGAAACAAAAAAAAAAATAAAAGAACAACAGCGCGCTAGTTCCTAGGTAGGGGGAAAGGACACGGGGTCCATCCCATTCCGTTGAGGGTTTTTGGCGGTGGCGTAGTTTGACCGTGGAATATGGATTGCCTAGGGGACAGTCCCGTCCCTTCTCGGTACCCGGAGTGCTTGGGTGTCTTTTGGGCGAGGGTGGTAATCTCTGGAAAGCCACTTTCGGATTCCGGGGGTGGTGCTGAAAGGAGGTATGCTTTTGTGGCGGATATCCGGCCGCCCTCTCTTTTGTCCAATGAGGGTAGCTCGGGCAGATGTGAGGTTTGCTATCCCAGATTGCTGGGTTACTGGCTGAGGGTAGGGTTATGGCAGGGTTCCATGCTGCATCTGCGCTACTAGCTGTGTCGAGTCCCTCTTGGGCGGGAGGAGATTTCTGGCCTTTCATTCCTCCTAGGAACTATCCCTCCCCGGTCCCCCCCTTTTTTTTGCTTTTTTTTTATTTTTATTTTCTTTTCTTCTTTCTTTTTTTTTCTGAAAAACAAAAGAAAGAAGTACCTAACCATGGCAGCCCTTAGTCCATGAACCTGGTACCCGGGCCCTTTTGATACCGCACCCCGTTCTGACCCCGCCTGTCTTTGGATACAACTCTTCAGGAATTTCCTCATGCTCTGTACCTACATTGACGGTGCTGTTTCCTCACCCGCTTCAGGTATGAGCCTCGATGACTCCTTCGATTTATCAAGACCTTCGCTCTCCTTGACTATGCTTCCGGCCTCTCCCTATACGGTGCGGCAATTTTCAATCGCCGACCCGTTCCACGTCGGACCAACTCTTGGTCCACGCTAAACGTAACGACAATTACCTGCTGATGCTAGCTTCTCCCCATCACACTTCTCGTTCTTCTCAGAAACGAGCGACACGTCCTTCACTACCTTTTCACGCTCAGTTTTCGAGAACAGTGGACTAAATTCTTTCACTTTAGACCAACTTCCTCTACTGCCTATCTTTCTGACCCATAGTATTGCAAGGCAATCTACGCCATGTGGTAAAGGTATTTCTTTTTCATGCTCTTAAGAGCGGTCTACGCGCATCATTACCGTACAGAATGCTTCCCAGGCCTCGTGAGCTCTCTCGTCTTTCCCATATGATTCTGTTCCTGTCACCCTTGAAAAACATCATTCCTCAATTCTTGTTGTGGTACCGTTATTCTGCCCCATACATAGTTCAACAAAATTTCAGACATGTTGGCACCGACATTCTAGAACAGCTGGAACTCCAAGATCTCCCAATCCTCAAGGTGACCACTTTACGTTCTTCCTGCCGTGGGCGGAGACGATTACCTAGCATGTGGCTCGTTTAACTTTGGGACAGCCGAGAACTCCCATCTCCGTTTATATAGAGGAATCGGTTACAGTTCGAAAGGATGATCCCTACACCACAAACAGTGTAGAAATTGCTGGCGATTTGGCCATCCAGCGAATATTTGCAGATCTATCGCCGAATGCCCAGTCTGTGGTGCCGATGACATTCTAACACGTCTTTGCAATCGATCTCCACTCTTGCCTTAACAGTCATGGAGGCTCACCCTTCGTACTCTCGCCGTTGTTCAGGTCTATTTTAAACGAGCGGGAAATCCGATACCTCAAAGAGACAGAGGTCTCCCTTATTGCCATTGGCAGTTTCTCATCTCCGCCTCCAAGGGGAGACTCCCACGTGTTTCTTGATTCCGTGTTTCAAAACGTCCCCCACTTCTGTATCCCTCTTCTACACCCACTCTGTGGTTACCTCTCCCATAATCACTCCTGTTCTAATCCTTTTGCTGTCCTCGGGCTCAGACCGTCCCTACTTCATCGCCTCAGTATAATCTCGCTTCTTCGAGTTCTCTTCTTTACAAGCGCTCAAGTATCGACCGAGTGCTCGTACGACACCTTTCCCAATCGTCCCTCTACTCTCAAAAGTCAAAAAAAGGTCCGTGGTAACACCTCCTACCATCTTCCACTCCTCATTTTACCCTCCCTGTCTCTGTCCCTAGTACTTCCCCTCTCACGGCTCAGGTACAAGTGAGAGGTTCACCCTCCTCTCGTAATGTACCTTCTCCCCTGTTCCCTCCCAGTTTCTTCCTCTTCTGCCACCTCCCAGGTTCCTGTCTCTTCTGTCCCCTGCCAGCTTCCTCCAGTTCCCTCCACCTTTTCGCCCCCCCCTACCTTGTACAGTCCAATTCAGTTCAATCTTTATCATCCTCCCCTACCATTCCCAAATATTGTCTCCCCTACGACTTCTCTGAATTCCGAAAACTTGAAGCAATTCTGAATATATTGCAGAGACAAAACATCAATGGACACTGATCCACCTTCCGTCTTTCACTTCTCTGCTCCATCTGCGCAACTCCTTTCTTCACAGCGCACGTTCCTTCGCTGCTTGAAAAACATTCTTCCACTGCCTTACGCATGTGGACTTTTCTAACCCTTCTAGTCCGTAGGAACCCTTACCTGCGGATTTCAGTTTCTTTATCATTGGCCATCATGGCCTTCTTACAGTGGGAATATACGCGGGCCTCAGGGGTAAATCGGGGTGAGCTTCAGATGTTACTCTCCCAGTTTGCCCCTGTTGGGGTTTGCTTACAGGAACCAAAATTACACTTGCTGTTATTTCTCAATCTCAGGTATAATTTATTTGTATTTTCAGATCCTTTTCCTGATGGGACTTTAATGAAAGTGCCCTTTCTTTTTTTATTTTTCTCCGCACTGATATTCCGTTACCATCAGCTATTTATTCATATTCGCTGCATTACACAGCAGCCCGTATCCACTTTACATAGGGAAAAAAAGTGGTATACGCTCTGTTCTTTATATCTCTTCTCCTTCTCGGGCATTATTCTATTCGGATTTTGCCTTCCTTGTTTCGTTCATTACCGCCACCGATTCTGTTACTTGGTGACTTTAATGCCACCATTCCTCTGGGAGGGTCTCACTGTGATTCCCGTGGAATTCAGTTAGAGGTTTTCTTGCCACCCACCCCCTCCATGTTTTAAATACAGGTACTTCACACCCATTTTGATCCTCGGATCATAACTCTCTCTTGCATCGATCTCTCAGTTTGCTCTTCCTCGCCGACATTAGACTTAACTTGGTCTGTTCTCCCGGACTTACATGACAGTTGTCTTTTCCCAATCATTCTGATTCTTACTTCCTTCATATTCGCCCCTCTTCGCCGACCCCCCCCCCCCCCCCCCCCCACCCAGGGCTAGAGTGGAGGAAGGGGGGCTCAATCCCCACGCTGGCAATTTAATCGGCAACTTTGGAACCTTTACTCCACCTGACTGTTTTTAAAGAGGTTCTACTTCGTCCTCCATCGATGAGCTTTTACACCTCTTCTCGTCCTCGTTTTCACTGCAGCTTCTCATTCTATACCCCAAACTTCGGGCAGGATTCTCAGAAATGCGTGCCTTGGTGGTCTCATGCTTGTGCTCGTGCAGTACGTTTGAAACGCGCTGCTATGGGGCAGGTCGGTACAATAGAACCACAGAGGCGACTCCTTGATTTTAAAACAGAAGCGTGCGATCGCTCGCCGTGTCATCCGTGACGCTAAAACGCCACTTGCTGGCGAGATTATGTCTCCACCATCACCTTATTCCTCTATGAGTGCAGTCTGGAAAAAAAGTACGAAAAACTTGAGTGGTAAATATTCTCCGGACCCGGCTCCTGTTCTGCGGGTTGCCGGTGTTGATATAGCAAACCAACTGATCGTTGCCAATGAAATTGGCAATCATCTGGTCCCGTATTCTCAGGGGACTCCATCTTGCCCCTCATTTACTTTCCTCAAGTTCTGCCAGAGAGTTAGCACCACTTGGACTTTTCTTCTCTCAGAGAAAGAAACAGTTAATGTGCCTTTTTACACTTCAAGAACTGGAGGCAAACACTCTCAGCTTGTCGATCATCGCAGCTAGGCCCGCGGGACATGCATATTCGTAATGCTACAACATTTACATCAGTCAGCACTTGCAGTCCTACTTACGGCCTTTACAAATCTTATTTGGTCACAAGGGAGTTCTTCAACAGCTGTGGGAAATCACGCCATTGTTCTCCCTTTCCGCAAACCAGGCACTACGGGCGGGAAACCTCCCACATCGTCCCCATTGCTTTCCCCAGTGCCGTTTGCAAAGTAATGGAAGTCTAGTAATGACTTTAGTGTGGATTTGGAACACAACATTTCCCCTTTCCCTCGAAATATGGTTTTGAAGGGGACTTCTACCAAGCCCCCTTACTGCGCTTGGGGATCTTGTTGTAATCCCTTTTGCGAAAAACCCCTCATTATTGCCATTTTTTTTGACTGGAAGCATTGACACAACTTGGGGGTATAATTTTTTTAGCCCAAGCCCATCCTTAGGCCTTCGAGGCAATCTCCCACCCTTTCCTTTAAAGAACTTTTTAACTGACAGGCATTTCCGTGTTGGGTTAATAATGTGCTCCCCCCGGGATTTATCCAAGTAAAGGGCCCCCCCAGGGAGGGTTTTTGACACAACATTTTTCTCCTTGCTTTTAAAATGTTTTGGGCCCTTTAGTCTTCCATCAATTTTTGGTCATCATCTATGTTGAGTTTTTCGCTATTGCCTGTGCAGGCGCTGACTGTCCCTCCTTACAGTTTCTCCCCAGCATGCAGTCGACCGTTTTTCCATTGGGACCACACAGGGGTTTTAAATTTTCCAGCCAAAAAACCCACCAAATCACTTTCCTAGACCTCTGCATCTTAATCATCCTTTGTACCTCTATGGCCAGTATCCCTGAACGTGAAACGTAAGTTCGGGGGCCTCCTCTTTGATCGAGGTTTTCCTGGAAACCTCCATTACTCTCTAAAGGCAACTTGCACCCCCGCTGAACCTTTTAAAAACCCTTGCTATCTTTCGTGGGGAGTGATCGTCGAACCCCCTCCCTACATTCCCCCTTATTTATCAAACTTGTTATGGGACCAGATCTTTTCAGCGGCATCCCCTGCTACTCTCTCTACCCTTTAACCCCTTCATCACCAAGGATTTTTTTATCCCTTTGGTGCTTTTCGCTCTTCCCCGTCGAAAGCCTCTAGCAGAAGCAAAACGTTCCACCCTTATCCGATCGCCGTGATGCCCATTGCCTGGCTACTTGAAAGCTCTCATGATCTCCGCAATCCTTCCATTTATAGAATGTCACTGATATTAGTAGACATTCTTTATTTGTTTCGCCGCCCTGCTTTCTCCTCCCTTCTCTCTTTGCCTTTATTGCTCTTGTTTCTCTTCAACTACCCCCTTTTAGTACATGTAGCATCTACTTTTTCCCCACCCCCCTGGGAAGTTCCAGTGTTCGGTCGTTTTTTTCCCTCCCTTGTCGAAAAAAAAACCAACTGTCTTGGTCGTTCCCCCTCTCTTTTTCTTGACCACTTTACTTCCCTTCTCATGCCTTGCTGTGTACACGTGGCTTAAGTCTTCTGAGGCGTGGTTCGCAGCAGTGTTTCCGGACAGCGTCGTACAAGGGATTTTTATTTCACTGTATTTTTTCTGCGAATTATATGCCATCCTTACAGCCTTTCCGTATTTCATCTATGCCTGTGTCATCATTTGTGGGTTTTCTCAGACTCCTTTGTCTTTTCAGGCTTTTCAAAAATTTGTAACCTACCCCTTAGTCCCCCGATCCAATTTTTGGCTCGCCGCATCTTTACAAGCATAAAATATTGTTTTTTTTTGGGGCCTGGTCATGTTGACGACAGGGGAATGAACAGGCGACACTGCTCGCGGTCAGCAGTACATGACCACCATTTTTAGAGGTATTTCCGTACGGCTATTTTTTCTGTAATATCTTCCCACCTCACACCCGTTTGGCAACAACGTTTGGGTTTCTTGCTCGGAACAAACTTCAGTCTATTAAACCCAGTTAGGTTACTGGCCGTCTTTTTATCACATGTCGAGGGTTGGGGAATACTCTCTCCCCTCTTCGCATTGGCCCTACCGTTTATCATGGATATCTCATGGGAGGCGTCTTGCTCCTCTCTGTGAGAATTTCCAAGCCCATTATAGCGCCACATCTGTTGGATGCCCACTTTTTTCAACGAGCACGCAGAAATTTTTCCCCTGTCTCGTCTTCGCCCCCCTGCTCTCTTTTACCTTTCCCCTTTTCGTGATGGCCCACCTTTTACCGGGTCTCTTTATTGACTTTTTGAAACGAGACTTTTCTTCACAAATTCTGATACTTTAGCCCTTTTCTCTTGTATCTCTTGCTACCCTCTCCCCCGTCCCACCCCTGCCCCGTGTTTTCTGAACCCGTGATCATCCCCCCCCCTTCTGCCATCCAATTTTCCCCTTCTTCCTTCCCTACCCCGCAGCCCTTTTATAGCCCCTTTTGTTAGCGCTTTTTTTGATTATAATAATAATCAAAAGTAAAAAAAATCATGCTAACATCCAAACATGTCAACTGGTGAGTTAATTTTTTTTCACAATGGCCCATATTATTTATACAATTTTTTCACAATTTTCGTAGTTTTGATAACAGTAAAACTTTTTTTTTTTTGGAATAAAAATTTTAAAATGGAAAGCAAAAGAATGTAAGAGGGGGTGGGGGGACGTGGGTAATGAAAAAGGAAATGTTATTTTATGCCAGGAATTCTTTCTTTTTTATTCTGGCCCTATTTGGAAAATTTGGCATTTTTGAAATTTGTGTGAAATTTGGGAAAATTGCAAATTTGACCCTGCATTGGATTTGTTGAATGGGAAATGGGTGGTTTCTGTATCATTTAATAGAAAAAAAAGGAAATTCAGGAAATAGATTGATTTTGTCGGTTGTACATGGAATTGACGAAAAAGGGCTCAAAGTGGGCAAAATCACCGATGCGTAAACATGTCGAGACCCCCTAACTTCGCCCAAAAGATAATTCCGTAATTTTTCATCAAATTTCACACTTTTGGTGTCTTTATGATCGGGAAAAGATTCTCTATCTTTTCATAAGAAAAAATAATTTTTTTTTTTAAATTTTTTGGGGGACCCGGAACAAGTCTCTGAAAGGGCCTGTGGACCCTAAAAAGGTTAATATCCGTTTTTATGCAACAGTTCAAGCGATCTTGGACATACAGTGCCACCCTACCCCCCTTCCCAATACTTCTATCTACTTGGAACAATTTAAAACCCTGAATGTGACATTCTGCAGGCATGTCCCAACTTTTTGAATTAAGCCAAGTCTCAGTGATTGCAAATACATCAATGTTACCTGCACTAGCAACTAATCTCAACTCCTCCATCTTATTCCTAGCACTATGGGAATTAGCATAATTTATATTTAAAGACCCTCCTTTTTCTTTACCCTTCCTGCTCGTTTCTGCTTTTCCACTATACCTATTACTGCCATTGTCACGTAGTGCCACTAGCTTTCCAATATCCACTTCATTTTGCCTATTACTAATTCTCCTAATACTCATATTTACTACACTGGGACTTCACTGTTTCCCGCCAAAAACCCATACCACTAACTATTCCCAGTTTAAAGTCCTAACAGCTCCTTCCA